AATTGTACCGGCATGTTCCTTTTCTTTTGCGCGAGTGGTTTTTCTCTCGGCTTCTCGGTACTGTTGTTTTCTCCTCAGGAGTCAACGGTTCCACTTGATACGAAATCCAATTTAATCAGGGATACAATACTGAGGTAGAATATTCGCCTAATAAAATCCAATAGCGCGAGCGTGCTTCATGTTCCCATTGTGCACGCTGATGACTGATAAACTAGACTCGAGCTCTTGTGAGCTTAGCAATCCTCCTGAGTGCAACCATAAATCAATAGTACACTCTGAAGCATTTACTATGTGTTTTATAGCGTACATTTTATAGAAAACTTTTGAATTTTTCAGCCGATTGTAAGAAAATGAGGTGAGTATTGTTGTCATCTGCGCAAGCTCTTCGGGGTGTGGCGTGTGTTAATAATTCTTGGCAAAGTTTTTTCCCGCCTTGAGCAACTATTACCCTCTTTCGTGCTCTCTAAACTTCGCGCATGCTTCATATCTCGACATAAACACGTTGACTCATGAACCAAATGCTAATTAATCATTCATTTTTATCTATAGAACGCAGACATGGCAGGAGCAGCAATATCTGTAACGGAACAACGCGAAAAAATGATGGACTTTAGCGTTCCGTTCATGTACTACACACAGGATTTGATCATGAAGAAGCCTTCGTCTGGAAACAAAGCAGTAGACTTGTTACAATTCATGACCCCATTTGAAAATCTGGTTTGGTTTTGTACTCTAGCCACCTTAGTGATCACCTCTATTGCAGTATTTGTATTAAACTATTACAGTCCCTATGGATATAAAAACGAAAATGGTGAAGGCACTTCGGACGAATTCAGCTTTTTCAACAGTGTGTGGTTTGCATTAGCTTGTATGCTGCAGCAAGGTGGTGATAACACACCAAGAAGTTTGTCAGGTAGAAAAAAAAATGCGTCCACTTCTCAACGTTTGAATCCCTTTTTAGAGACAAATATTGCTGGTTTTCAGTGTCACTCCATTCAAAATGGATTAAAATCAAATCAAAACCGTTCAATAGATAAAGTCCAGAATCTGGGGAATGAAAGGAGGTACATATACAAAGACCCTCGCCAAGATTCAGGTCAGAGGAATATCTCGTCTGCGACATATCCGAGGAAATGTTTTACCCAAACTTAAAGAGATTTGTATTGAGACGCCATGCTGGTGCTCACCTGGATGAGCTCCAACATGGCGGACGGAAACCAACAGAAACATCTGTTACCGAGTTAAAATAATACTTTAAAATAATTTTTTAAAAAAACATTAAAATAATACTTTTTCTAATACATGAACTGTTTACATAGCAAAATTTTTCTTGAAATAAGTCATTTTTTTAACCAACATGACAACTGTGAAAGGTTTGAACCCAGGAGTCATTTCAAAATGTTGAGTTTGATCGTCCGGGTGAACGTAGTCCTGAATAGGACTGTTGTTGTTGACAGTGACTGACGTTTCGACAACCTGTGCGGTAGTCATCTTCAGAGTCAAAGTGAGTTGTATCACGTCAGATGATGACAACGTCGTTGCTTAAGCCTGTTAAGCTCCCTACTATCAGTCCTAAGACGGGGCTACCTTACTCAGATTTCTTGGAATTTCAGCGTACAAATTTCATGTCAATCTTTCTGCAGGTCGTATTCTTACCGGATGTTACTGGTTTTGCATTGTTGTCTGGGTCTCAACATATACCGCTAACCTAGCGGCTTTTCTTACCGTCAAAAATGCAGCCCACCCGATTAAAAGCGTGGACGACATTGCGCAAACTTCCCATCAAGTTGGTGTAGTTGCATCTACCAGTATACAAGAGTCGTTCGCGACCACCCAATATGAACCTCACGTAAAGATTTGGCAGCGAATGAAGGCAGAGCAAACATTCGTCCGGAACACTTCTGATGGAATCCTAAAAGTGAGAGAAAGACCAAGCTTTGTGTTTATAAATGATGGCCCTATTCTTGAGTATATTGTCAACCACCGTCCATGCGACCTAATGACAGGTATGTAAGGTCCCGTTGGATGAAGATGGCTTGCATGACAAGACAAGCCTTACCCACTGGTTATTAACCGGGACAAAATTTGACAGTGACAGTGATAGTGATTTTTTTCCCGGAACACTTTCTGAAAGCTTTTATTATTACTTACTCAATAACCAGAAATAGTGCCGTCCTCGAGGAATTCTCTTATTAGTTCTTATTCAATTTCAATTTCAATCTCATGGTCACTCAAGTGGGTGGGGTGGGGGTTGGCGCTTATTTGAGTTTGATTGGGAGGAGGAGGGGGTGTGGTTTGGGGGTGGGGGGTAAGCACTTCTTGGGAAAGCTCCAGCATATGGGTATCAGAAGCCGAAAAAAAAACCTCCGTTAACCGGGTTAATCCTCTCTCAAGAAAGACACGGTGAAATTTTACAAAGTAAGTAAAGGTGGGGCAAGATCATCGTCAACCAATACAGCCAGTCTACCCGGGCAAACAGCAAATCAGGGATTTTTTGTGCTTCATTTGAAGAGCGGTATCTCCAGAACGCTTTCCAAAGCTCATACCTGCCGGCCCGACCAAGGCCTTACCAAACCTTTTTGAAAATGAAATACGTTTTGAACAAGAGTTTTTGATGAAAAACCACCTCTTTCGTGCATACTAGCGATTCAGGTTTTGACTTATCTGGCTGGATAGTTTTGATTTAAGGGTGAAATTCTCATTACGACGGGAATGGTCTAGCCGGTCGACAGTAATGTAAAGCGCCCTTAGTTATACGCTCAAAGAGTCGTTATTGCTTAATCTGAATCCTATGGTTGAGAGAATTTCGAGAAAAATATGACAAATAAGCTTCATTTTCCATCCAGTTCCAGGTCTCAGTAGAGCCAAGGGACTGGCGCTCGGTTTTGAAGCTTATGATCCACATACTATGGATTTTTCTCTGGCCATTTTGCGTCTTCATGAAAATGACTTCCTTGATAATTTGAAGCGAAAGTGGTGGGACAAAGCCAATCAATGTTCCAAAGAACAGGAAACAAGTGAGTTAAACAAGAAATTGTACAAATTTGTTTATCCACGAAACCCTTAAGAGCCATTAAACCTCTAATCAATCAAACGTAGCAGTTTGTAATCATTTTAAGATGGCAAATTGCCTACAAGTGCAGCTGTCTCTCCTCCTTTCTCGCCCCGCTATGGATGTTTTGAGCAAGAGATGTCCATAGCGCGGCAAGAAGCTAGGAGAGATGGTTGTACATTAGCAGGCTAGGTTTTCAATTGACTCTATAACTCAGTTGGCAATCATCATATATATAAGTGTTTCTTTTTCTTGCATTGACAAAGTCAATCCATGTAACCTAAAGAAATTTCTAACTCATGGTCAGAGCGATTAAATCTAGAGTTTCACAGCTTTTATTTCGTTCGAATCTCTCGAACTTCATCATCAATTACATCAAATGGCAAGACTAGTTTGCAGGAAACCCACCTACACCACAGAGTAATATATACATTTTGCTCACTTCAAGTCACACCACCTCGAAAACCAAAGATCTGCTGTCCAAACGTTACTACTTTCCCTTAGAGGTTTACAAATCAAGCTCAAGTTTTCCAAATTGTTTGAGCCGGCAAAATGTACAAGTTGATAATTTCCATAATAAAAAGTTCTCGTAGCCACATAATGATAACTGCAACTTCCAGAAAGTAATTAAAAGTGGTGCCATATTGCCAAATAGATTTTTGTGCTAAAAATAGCCTTAATAGGTCACGTGACAGTTAGTGACTCCAATTATCATTCAAAGTTGTTAAGTCTGTTCTTAAGTTATTTTGTACTATATTGAAAGCTTAAGAATTAAGATCACCCCCTGTTTTTGAGGAATTAAATAGAAGACCCACACCGTAATTTTTAGGAAGATATTATAACTCCAAAAATGGAGTAAAAATATTAGGTACAGGATAACCCCTTCTTGGGGGTTACTTTAACTCCTAATTTAACTCCGAATTTGGGGTCATTTTTACTCCTGAAAAAGAGTTCTTTTTACTCCCAGTCTGGAGTTGAAATAACTCCGAAATGGGGTTACTTTTACTCCTTACATGGGTTGTTTTTACTCTTTTTGGAGTTAATTTAACTCTGAAAGTGGAGTAAAAATTTTAGGTACCAGATAACTCCTTTTTTGGGGGTTATTTTAACTCTTCAATATCTGGGGTCACTTATACTCCTGAAAAAGAGTTCTTTAAACTCCTTTTTGGAGTTAAAATAACTCCCCAAAAAATGACTCCACTGTAAGGCGTTAAATTAGCCCCACTAGAGTAGTTATTATAACTCCTTGAAAATTACTGTGATGCCTTAATTTTCTTGAATGTTCGGTCAAGATGGAAGGATATTGGCCTCGTTCTTTCTCGCGTTTTTACTCACCTCGAATTTCTCTCGGTCCAAAATAAAAAGGGTTTGGCCAATGTCCAACCATCTTGACTTCACTTTTGGTCAAAAACCCTTATTTCTTTTTTTTCCATCCTCTCCCTCCCTTCCTTTCTTTTTTTCCTTTTGGCAGCGCTGTCTCAAAAGCGGATCGATTTACCCAGTATGTTGGGAGTGTACGTCGTCATGGGCTGTGGGATAACTGCAGCATTTATAACGTTGATTGCAGAGATCTTCTGGAAAAAAATGATGAAGAAACGAGAGAGTAAACCCTCATGTTTGAAAAGGTACAAGGTTATCGTTATTAAAGTCCGGCCAACCGGGAAATCTTCTTTTCTTATTTATTCATTTTTTTTATTTTATTTTTTTTTTTTTTAGTGTTTCACTTTTTTCAATTTTTTAGTTATTTGTTTAGTTAAATATAGCTTTTAAAGTGACTTGCATTTTTATGATATCTTTTAATTGTCTTATTTTCATCTTATCGCCTGTAATGCTCATACGAAAATATTTCTATTGAATATTATCAGGATAAGTTTCATATTTATTATTATTTATTATTCTTCATAGGTCAGTCGGCTCAAGCCCTACCATAATTTCTACAAGCAATTGACTGGAATTGAACCACTCTTAACCAGGATTAATGTGGATTCTGTTTACGCGAATTAGTCGATTTTATTTTTTTCTGTCACGAATACTTGGCACAAAGCGACTTTGATTTTCGTCATCTCGGGTGGTTTGCAACCGGGTTTGCACCAACTTGACTAGGGATTACGCATAAACGGGTACAGGATTTATGCCATGAAACCGCCATTCAAGGGTCCAAATAAAATAGGGAAGAAAGTATTTTTTGCGCTTTAGCCGCAAGTGTCAGTGTTGGGGCAGTTTCGTCGGTTTCTAGAAGTGCAAGATTTTTAAGTCGAATATTCATACGAAAGTTAGATTCTTTGGGCATAAAATCTAATTTGTTCATGATGCCGATGTAAACCAGAAATAGCGTTTAGGTTGTTGCTTCCAATTACAACGTAGTCCCCGCATTTCCTCTACAGGGAAAATAGTGCGTACCTGAATTTTTTAAGACTGCTATATGAAAAAATAATCGGATTGGAATTAATTCACTACCTTTGAGATTGGTGTACAATCAGCATACTTGAGTAACTCTCATATAAATCTAATATGAAGTGAACAGACAACACCTTGCATGCAGGCTTTTATTTCTCATTGAAAGCAATAAAAGTTTTACCTTGATAAGCTGTTCATTGTGTCAGTCATTCAACCCATTTATTCCCGAATTCAACTCCATTTTCTGACTTGTCAGATAGAAAGGTTAATATACAAAATACGGCAAACTTTCCTTTATAAGCCCTGGGCTCACACCACTTCAGAGAAAGATCTGATGAAGTATATCCGCGCGCTCTGATTTAAGCCCTGACCTAGAACCCTCAACACCCACAGAATCACGCCATACCATGGTTCGCAATGGTTCTGTCCATGTTTTAGAGGTTGGTTTTGGCCAATCCTTTATTTTCTCTGCCAGACATCAACTTGACACTTGGACTCTTGCCCCCCAGAAGACACGTGGTGTGGCGTAATTCTGTGGGTGTTGAGGGTTCTAGGTCAGGGCTTTAATCAGAGTTCATCAGAGTTTTCTCTGGCTGTTACGCCACTCTGACGAGCCCCAAAAAGGGCTAAACAGCCGTCTATGCGTACAATCCAGCTCTGTTTTGAGTTCTTTCGGCATGTCGTGTTGATGTCTTGCAAAGTTAATGTTCACGTAGTACGATCTGCATTGCAGTATTCTGCTTGCAGAGTTTAATATGTCTACTTGTCATTTTTGCCATATCAGGTCTTTATAGATCCTACGTTCCTCGGCATATTAGTTTGCGGTCCTTTGCAGTCTTTTGTGGTTGATGTTTTTACTTTATGTATTTTGGGGCCGTAGATCTTTCAAAGATCCGATATGCTGTAATTCTTACATGGTTCTGTCCATGTTTTAGAGGTTTATTTTGGCCAATCCTTTATTTTCTCTGCCAGACATCAACCTGACACTTGGACTCTTGCCCCCCAGAAGACACGTGGTATGGCGTGATTCTGTGGGTGTTGAGGGTTCTAGGTCAGGGCTTAAACCAGAGGGCGCGGATATTTTTCATCAGAGCTTTCTCTGGTTGTTACGCCTTACTGAAGCCCCAAAAAGGGCGAAACAGCTGTCTGTGGCTACAGTCCCGCTCTGTTTTGAGTTCTTTCGGTGTCGTGTTGATGCATTGCAAAGTTAATTTCACGTGGTACGATCAGCATTGCAGTATTCTGCTTGCAGAATTTAATGTGTCTACTTTTAATTATGACATGCTTTGACAATAAAGAAGACTGCTATTTTGAAACATTTCGCTAGTTAAAATTTAAGTAGTGTAAGGTAGTTTTTACATTTGTAGGGACAATCCTGACATAGCATGGAAGTAAAAAGAAGTCTACGGTTATTTTTAACAGTAACATACGAATCATTGTAATTAGCACTGTCACAGGTTTTTATTCTCATGAATTAATATTAAATGACTTGTAGTTAATAACTGACAACAGATATCCAATCACCTGTTTTTTGGGCGACAGCCCGCTAGTCTAATGAAAGAGGTACGCTTGGAGATTGGCCAAACGGTGAATATGTTTTCATATTACCAAAGGTGGAAAATAAGAAGAAAATTTTAAGGCTCCTTCTTTCTTAAAACGTGGTCCTTGGCAACAGTATCAATGAATGGTGTGGTTCTCAAGAACGTTTTGGCTAAGTGAATATTTCCTTTCAATTTCATTCTGATTTGACAAAGTTGACAAACGCTCACTATAAAAAGGAAAAGAAAATTTCGAAAATGTCGATCCTGCCGAACATAGCAGAACAAAAAACAGGATAAATATTAATCAAAAGGGAGAAATACTCAGTTGCCTTTGTCGTTCACTGTCTCTGTGCATCTGCGGACTTCGCCTGGACCGCAGCCAAGTGAAGCCATGTCTAGTCATGTCTCGTCTGATAAAATATCTTTGGGCATTCTTTCAGATTTGCAACCGGCAAACAAAAGTTCTACATTCTTTCGTCTCATTGGCTTATAGTGGGTCTATTTTTCGTTATATCCATACGCCAAAAGATTGTAAAAAGATTTTGCACGTATTTCTCAACAAAAACGTGATCAGCGTTAATTTAATCAAGGCAGCCATGTTGGAATTTACAAAAGCGGTCCTCTCCGCTGGATTCTTACATCTATTCAGCCTCATGCAAATTCTGCGAATTCTGGCTGTCTTGACAAGTGACTCCAAGCCAATAATTGCCAAGGAGAGCACTGTCTAACTCAATTCTTCACCTGGTTTTACTAAAGCGGACAAAATTAGCTACCTTTATCTTAAAAGATTACGATTTAATATTGGTAGTACCGTCCTTGAATGAAAGTCTACTTTAAGGTAAGATCATGATAGTCTTCAGTTTATCATTTAATATTTTCTCGCCCGTACAATGTGGACAACTGTTTTAATTTCCTTTTTGTAATATGTTACATGTACTCTAACCGTGAACTTGACCTGTCTTTTGCAAGCAAAACAAATCACTATTCATCTTTCTTCGTTTATGAACTACATCGGGCAGTCACAAATATCCCCAATTTCCCTTTAGTCTGGAAAATCATCAAACATTTCACTTAAATTAAGAGATAAAATTGCATTGAAGCAAGCATTTTATCGAAGTTGGCCGTCAGTAGAAGATAACTTAGTCAAGGGGACCCATTTCTTTCACATTTTCTTAAAGAAGGTCGAGCTAAAAAGCTATACATGACAGTTTTTTGTGAACATTTGGACTGCAAGTTCGAAGTCAGTGACAAAATTAGGATTTTACCTGAAAAATTGTTCGGTCACAAATGTGACAGGAGGGAAACTAAACAAGGAACATTTTCTTAACGTACTTAAAGTTTGGTAAAAGGGACGAAACATACTAACTTATTAGCTGGTTTGTTTACACGTAACAAGCTGATATTGATCTGAATAAATATTGAACCACCTGAATAATTGCCACGGTAACATCACTACTGGAAACTACTCAAATGCAAGACAGAACTTCCTTTTCTATAAGAAATGTTCTTTCTATAACAGACGGACACCCTTTACATCTGTTAACAACATAATCAGAATTTCTCAGCATGGTATTTCGTTGAGCGTTATTGAAATAATTTAAAATTCACATGTGAATTTTAAACGGTATTTTTCATTATTTGTACTGAGTGATTTTCTTTTTTTAAAGGAATCGGAAATGCATGAAGAGGAATGAACAAACACATATGTTTACCAGTTGGACGTGAGCTGATTACTTGCCAGTCCTATCTTTGCTTCGTTCCGTGTGTTGGATTTCAAGAACAGAATCCTGCTTTTTCTTGCAGGTAGGACAGTGTAAAAATAATTCAAAAGGAAGTGTAAATAATAATATTTTCCAGGTATGAGACAATTATGTCAAGTCGAAAATAGGGTATTTTGAATGAGATATGCAGTGTTAGACCCACTCGATTAATGAGTATAGCTTAGAATGCGGACACTGACCCAGAATCAGCTACTTCAGTAAAAAAAAAAAAAAAACGCGTCCCTAAGGTTTCTAGTGATAACGTCACAGTTACTAAGATGTTTAGACTATTTTCAAAGCAAACGTTTTATTTGTAGCTTCTTTTAAAACATTTTTCGTTGTTACATGCCAGGCCGCACAATTCGTGCGTTCAGGGGTCTTTACATTTGCATTCTAATTACAGACCTACAGCTGGTGACTGCTAAATTCATCATAGATAACCGGAGTTTACTGACTTAACCATTTAAAATATTTATGAGAGATTGTTCGTTTTAATGATTCTTTCTCGGTTAAGACGAATATAAGAAGCTCGGATTTCAAAAGCGTTTTTGAACGTAGTAGTTTATTATCATATGCATGGTCGACATGGATTGCGTTAAAGTGATCAACTCTTCTCGACGAGTATATTCAAAAATCGACTGTTCAACAAAAAGGTTCGATAAAAGTTAACAATACTTTAATTAAAATTAGCATTCGATATCCAAGCAGCAAAAAAAAAAAGAAGAATTTGCACGTCGACATTAGAAATGTCTTAATTGGTCTTTCTTCGTTTCAGTATCAGATCCAAGCTTTAAAATAACGAAATGAAAGTAGAGATGATTCAGTTTGTTAGGCCATCATTATGTATATAATGTCAGTTCAGCCTCACTATACCTCAATATTACCATGTGTACATTTTCCGACTTAAATGCGCTGGCGATGCTTTGCTGATATCATTGCTTATACACGCATAAGAATTTGCGTAAGAAAGCCTTTGTACTAAAAGAAGAACAGAATGTACGTAATAATTGAAGGGATGTATAATTAAAACTAGGAACGCTTGCTGGACCGTCGCAATTAGTAATAATCATCGGTTTTTGTGATAAAACCATCGCACTTTGAAATACCTGTCGCAATTTGTAATAATCAGTGTTCCACTTTGTAATGAAAAAGCTGTCTCAATTTGTATTAACTGTCCAAAGCACTTTGTTGTAAACTATTAAAGCTGTCGTAATTTGCAATAATTTCATCGTACTTTATAATAAACTTTA